CTGTTTCTACATCACTTTTTACAACAGCCTGTTTCTACATCACTTTTTACAACAGTCTGTTTCTACATCACTTTTTACAACAGCCTGTTTCTACATCACTTTTTACAACAGTCTGTTTCTACATGAATCAAGGAAAATAGTCTCTCTTTTTATTGAAAAGATATTTCACTTTTTTTTTCTCTCTTCTTTTTGTGAAAATAAAGCTCTTTTTGCAAGGGGTGGCAGTCAGTATTTGGGGAAAGAGACCACTGTTATCATGTGTATTACTACAAGGCCTTTAAACAGTCGGGTGTATTACTATAGCTACAAGGCCTTTAAACAGTCAGGTGTATTACTATAGCTACAAGGCCTTTAAACAGTCAGGTGTATTACTATAGCTACAAAGCCTTTAAACAGTCAGGTGCTAGCTGTGTAAGCAACTTTACTGAATTTGCAATAAAGTTAAATTTCAGTTGGAAAATTAGGGTTATGCAGATAAGTTTACCACAGAAATATTGAAGTATGATTTTTATACGCCCGTCATTTGCGGGAGTATTATGGTATGGCATCATCTGTCCGGCAATCTCCTCCTCCTACCTCGACTGATCTCTTTGAAACTTGGTATACATCATAACCATGATATGAAGTTGTGTCTCCCTTAAAAGAATTTTGATTCAACAATTTTTCCAAAAGTAATTGCCCTTTGTTCATTTCAGTATTTGATTTTTTGTCCTACTTTGTTTGACGGATTTCTTTGAAACTAAATAGGCTAAATAATCATGATATGTTGTTGTGTTTCCTTGAAAAGGGGTTTTGATTCAACTATTTTTGCAATGTTATTTCCCTTTGTTTATTTCAGTATTTGATTTTTGTCCGGCAATCTCCTCCTACATTTAATTTTTGTTGAACGGATCTCTTTGAAACTTGGTATAAATTATAATCATGATTGATGAAAACGGGTGTATAAATTGTCTTGTTGATTGTTTAAGTCAACATGAAAATATATATTTTTAGAAGGTATTACCGTATATGACAGTAGGTGTTTTCGTATCGGACCCCATGAGAAAACAGCACTTTAGTAAAGCTGACAATGCATATAAAGCACCATCACTGACCCATCCAGAGCACTGTTCCCTACACCAAGACTCTCCTCCTGCAAACTTATTAATTTATGCAAAAAGCAGTGGTGTATGAAATAGCATCTCAATCGTGCACTTAATGATTTTGATGCTTACAAATACAGTAAAAATAGCATATCAAGGGCTTGTACATTTGTGAATTTATACATTCCATGTTATCTAAATTCTATTTTTAGATCTCCTGATAGTCAACTCTGAATTATACATGGAAGACTACATGTTAACCTGAAGAATTCATAAAGCAATCCAGTATTAGTAAGTATACAAAACTAGTAAATAATCGCAATTAATGTAGTATTGAAATTGACCTGGATTCAATAATTTGGCAGAGTTTCCATAGCACATTAATAAAAGGCTATGACTTGTGGAGTTTGTACCCACTAATTGAGTTGCGAGACTCTTGTGACAACTGAATTGGCTAATAGTAACGTTAACACTAAGCACGTATAATTTTTGAGAATATCACCCTCCACCTTCTACCTGTTTAGTTTTTTCAGTCTAGTGCAGAGCATAAAAACAGTCATAATATAATATTCCAATCTTTTTTATACCCCCCACAACAAAGTTTGTAGACAAAAACCTGTACCTCATACTCCTCCTACGTTAATGCATGGATTTTGATGAAACTCTACACACATGTTAAACCTCAAATGAACTTGTGTCACACAGAACACCTTTAGGTTCCTTCAAAGAAAAGAGTTATGGCCCTTGACTTCTGTAGAGAGTATATTACGCTACTGAAATGGCTTATTATCTTGGAAACGGTAGGTATTTTTTATGCACATATACATTGGAATGTTGAAGGCATTAATAAAAGCTAATCTTCTGACAAACTTCTGAGGTCATGGGGGTCAAAGGACACGAATGAATTACGTTACTGAAATGGCTAAATATCTCTGAAACGGTAGGTATTGTGTATACACATATACATTAGAGTATGGTAGCCAATATTTAATTATGCAGGCTATATTGTGACAAACTTCCAAGGTCATGAGGTCAAAGTTCAAAGGTCACAGATGCATAATGTTGCTGAAATGACTATATATGATTATCGCAGAAATGGTAGGTATTTTATTTACACATACCTTGGAGTAAATGTAGCATTGATGCAAGCTACATTGTGACAAATTCCGAGGCGATTGAGTCAAAGGTCACAGTAGTGGTGTTTGTCTTTTCCATTGGTCTGTAGGTACGACATCTGGGGTTAGACCTTTTCATGACCCTTGGTCTTTCTATATATGTTTTCCCTTGTTTATTTAGCCCCTACAGGGGCAACAAGCAGCCGAAATGGGGGGTATTAGTTTGCCCATAGGCGACAGTTATAGTTTTATAATGCATACAAATGTTTGTAAAAGCATATCAATGCAGTTTTTGATATCTTGAACAATTCTCACTTGTATGTATCGTAAAAATGATCGAGAGCTTAGTGTGTGACATTTAGACATATACTATTATTAAGATGTTATTTTATTTTCTAATTTTATTATCAATTAATTTACAATTTTTAATAGGTTATCTTAGTCATAAACTCTGGAGACCTATTGCAATTGACTTTTGTCTGACATCATCCATCATTAGTCTTCTGCTTACAATCATATCTGTCAGATTTTGATGAAATTAAGGGTAATCATAAGCCTATGGCCGGCCATAAAGGGGTCGCATGGTAAAAAAGCTCCAAACAACATCTCCTTTGAAACTAACAAGTGCAAAGTGATTCTAAGATGATAAGAATGAGAATCTATATATGCTTCAGAAGTGACTGACTCCCGAGGGGTTGAGAAACAAGGCCATGTCGTAAGTGGCCATGAAGTGCAAAATCTTCAAATCAAATATATTCTAGAAGTTACTGATGGATTTAACTAATATTAGTTAAGATGACGAAGATAACACTCCAGACGGGGCCTATCCCCACACATGGGCCCAGGGGCTAGACAATTTAGATAAAATGGGTGGTCGGGTGGCGCAGTGAATAGCACACTTACCTTTCACCAAGGCTGCCAGGGTTTGATTCCCCAACCATACCTGAAAAGGTATTGGGTCACCTGCCCGACCACATGGGTTTTCTCTGGGTACATGTACTCTGGTTTCCTCTCCGCGCACTAACATCGGGGCCAACAAGGGTGTAAAAACTTAAAATAAATAAAGTTGATATTTATATAGATAATTTATGATGATTAGTGGAAAGCACTCAAAAGACATCTCTGAAAGTTGCTGGTAGATTTAGACTAAACTTTTGTGAAATCATTTTAGCTAACACCATGTGTATCACTCATAATTTCTCATGGTAAGGCCCATTGGCCTCTTTGTTTAACTGTTAATTAGATTAAAGACATTTTACTTATCCAAGTCATTGATTAGTCTTTATTTACAGCGTTTGTCAAAGGAATTGAGTTTTCTGCAATTTCCTCAGAAATTTGTAAATGATTAAGGCTGGAGGAAATGTGTCAAACAGGGGCATTTTTCATATAGACCGTATCTTTCAAATGTTCTGCTATAAAATGACAGAATTACAAAAAGTAGCTACATGTAGCTGTCATGACCTGATCATGAACTGACAACATGTCAGTGTTAACATTTAACAGTTTTATGTCACCAATACTTCATGATCACAGAGTGTTTAATCCACATCTACGTGACATTTTCTGGTTGCTACATGTATACTATTTTTACCTGTTTATAGGTCATGGCAACCACATATCAGCAGAGTGGCAGAGAATCCCCAGCCAAGTACCAGGAGGTGGACACCAGCCCAGTTGGGGATCCCACAGCCGACCAAGGTAGGTCTTTAGTGTATCTGTTCAGTGTCTATTTACATTGTACATACACCTTCCCAGATTTAAAATCCTCTCAATACTTACAATAGATCTGATACAGTTAAGGAAAGGAGGAAATGCCTGTGAGTTTAGCAAGTCATGTCATGTGTTTGTCATCACCTTTTCCTGGGCAATAACTTCTACAGAACCATCAGGCATGCATAGTGTTGTAATTTTTGGCTTGTTGCTTTCTTGAATGGAGGGCTTTTAGTTATTGTCTCGCCGCCACAAGGTAGAGGTAGCGAGACTTAGCTGTTGCTTTTACAGCGACGGCGACATCATTAAGTTTTTGCGTTTGAGTTAGTTTCACTGAAAGTATAAGTGCTACACCAAAAAAACTTGAACCATAGATGCATCTGAGGTAGTACATCATAACCCATGCATCAAAGGCTGTATGCGGCCCATCTTTCAAGGTCCATTGACTTTGTCAGCATCACCATCAACATTAAGTTTTTGCGTTTATATTAGTTTCTCTGATATGTGCGTTAATGGTCAAAGTGGGGCACAGGTGAGACATATCAATTCGAATGGCTTTTTTTTTTTAATTCAAGTAAAAAACCTTGATCAACTTGGTCAAACTACTAGTCTCGGACACTTGAGTGGATTTTGACTAAATTTGGTCAGAAGCATTGCTGGGCCTACTAGCTATAGATATAGTGTATAAACAGAGGTTGTGCTATGTTGTCCCCTATTCCCCTTTCTTCTTCCATAGAGATGAAGGAATCTTAACGAAATTCAATTAAGCCGAGGGTGCTCTGTGCTGAACAAGTAAATAAACAATTTTAATCAACAAATCCAAGAGAAGACTGAAAGAAGGAAAATCAAAAATGTTGTTTGTGAAGAATGTTGTATTGAAAACTAAAATATTAATATTGTGTTTCTTTTTCAAATCAATAGGTTCAACTCCCAAGATGAATGCAGATGCGATATTACAGAAGCTTGGGGCCTATGGACGATATCAGGTACTGGTGTTTGTGTCACTGGCCTTTGTTTACATGAGGGGGGCATGGCCTGTCCTAGCAAGTATATTCCTGGCCGCTGACCCTGGACACCACTGCAGGGTGCCTAGCAACACATCCCTCAATGTGTCCCTTCCTGGCAAGGTTGATGACGATGGGACATGGACCCCTGACCAGTGTGTTATGTATGTCCCTGGGAGTGACCGAAACCAGACACAGAGTTGTAGTAATGGCTGGCAGTATGGGGATCAGTTTGATTCTACCATTCTAATGGAGGTAAATATCATGTTCACATTCCACCTAGAGAACAACTGTGGTAATATTAAAAGAATTAGAGAGACAATGTCAACCCCTTGTTAAAAGTCTATTAAGATGAATAGCCTAGATTAATTATTATGGTGTTATTAATAACAGTTCTGTAAAAAAAAAAAAAAAAAATCATCAATGTTTGTGAAGTTTTAAAAGAAGAAGTGGAAAGACTAGGTCCCTTAACGGCTTGTATTGTGTAAATTTGTGTTGGGACATTTCACTGTATTAGAGCCTAACATTATTATAGAGTTGATATGTTTTGCTACAGTGGGACCTAGTCTGTGATGACAGCTACCTGGGAGAACTCTCCACCACCATCTACATGGTCGGAAACACATGTGGAGCCATACTGTTGACTCCACTCTCGGATAAGTTTGGTCGTAAGAAGATGATCCTGTTCATGTTGTGGATACAGGGTGTTTTTGGTGTCGCGACAGCATTCGCCAATAGCTACATCCTCTTCACTGTCCTGCGCTTCTTCATCGCCGCTCTCAACATGGTAACTATCAACATAACAAAAGAAGATTTCTGCTTTTTTTTCTGCCAAAGGCTCAAGTGGCATTTTACCATTCATCTCTTACAATGAATAATTTTCACATCTCTAGAACAATAAGGCCTAGGATCATGATACTAGTAGCTGACAATTAGGTAGCTGGGGTTGAGGGCTATCTTAATAATAAATTACCTTGATCTTCATTCCAGGTCACAGGGATGAAATAGGATTAAATCATATAATTATTCAGGTTCAAGAAGGCTCAGGATCAGGCCATTTGACCAGTAGCTAGTTTGAAGGCCTAGGGTCATGATATTTTACCACTAAATAGCCAGTATCAAAATTTCCAAATAAATAACCCTGACCTTCATTAAAGATCACCGAGGATAAATTTGTTGACATTTTTTAAACAGCTTCTTTTTAAGAATGATTGGACCTATTGTCATGTTGATTGGTTTATAGGTTGATTGGACCTATTGTCATGATGATTGGTTTATAGGTTGCAAGGATGGAGGGCTATTGATATTATACATGTTTGCATAGATAACCTTTATTTTTTCGATTCAGCTATTTTATGGAAGTTATGCCCCTTTTTACAAATTCCTTAAGTCCTGTAAATTATGTCAAGAGCTCATAAAAACTTTTAGTATACCTTTATGAAACTTGTTGCACATATTGACATCACTTAATATAACTGCATATTGTAATGGAATTTTATTTTGATAATTTTATCCGGGTGTGCAGGATGTATTAGTTAGGCTGTAGCTAACAGTTCTAGTTTAGATTTTAAGTGACATCATTTATAAAGCTCCTAAGCACTCTACTTCAGTGTTTTGTAAAAACACAATTAAAAATATTTGATACTCTTGTGTTTAGGTTTATGCTTGTCTAAGACTATTGTAGCAGCCAATTATTTCTCACACTGTTTCTCTGTAAATCTGGTTCTCCCTCTAATGTATTTATAAAGGTGACAGGAAGGTGGTTAATTCTTGTATTCAGGGAAAGAATTGACTAATATTTATCACTGTGTCTTTGTATTACAGCCTATAGCACTTACAACCTATGTGATGATGACAGAGGTATTCCCTGCCTCCCACCGAGCCCTACCATCTGTGGGCATCAACTGTTTTTGGGGTATCGGCCTGATTTTCTTGTCCGTATTCGGCTACCTAGTGCGAGACTGGAGTCACCTACAGCTGTTAATCTCCATCCCAAACTTCCTCACAGTCATGTACTACTTGTAAGTAGTCGTAAGTCTGGTACAGATGAAGACCGAGATTAAAGAAATCTTACACAAACAATGCTTACGTAGAAATAACTAGTAGTGACAGAGTGGGTGTTTATTGAGTAATTATTAATTAAAATGTACATATACCCACTCCATAGAGAAAGCTAATACAAATAATTCTTTGAAAATGTGCAACCTATGTCAAAAATGATTACCCACTTAAACCAAAATCCTCAAACTGTAGTCGGGATATACTACATATGCTGTGAGATAAACGTAGTCTCTCTCATACAAATCATTGAGTCGTCTTAAAGCTTGTTCAAGTAATTATCTTTGCCTCCTTTCAAAATCACAGGGGTCATTTCTGATAAGGATTCAAATGACTTCTTCAGAAAGGCCACGAGTTGCAGTATTTGATCTGCACTTGGTGGAGTAGATGACTACCCATGTTGTTTAAGTGAATGTCTTTGGTTCACTTTCTGGTTTACAAGAGTCAAATGTGTTTAAGATCAAAAAAAAAGTGAGGCTTTTGGGTCTCTTGTTAAATTTAATGAACAAATTTCAGTTTGTGATTGACTACCTAATATATATAAAGGAGGTCAGTCTGTGATTGACTTCCTAACATATAGAAAGAAGTTCAGTTTGTGATTCACTCCCTAATATATACAAAGGAGGTCAGTTTGTCATTGACTTCCTAATATATATAAAGGAGGACAGTTTGTGATTGACTACCTAATATAAATAAAGGAGGTCAGTTTGAGATTGACTACCTAATATATACAAAGGAGGTCAGTTTGTGATTGACTTCCTAATATATATAAAGGTGGTCAGTTTGTGATTGATTACCTAATATATATAAAGGAGGCCAGTTTGTGATTGACTACCTAATATATATAAAGGAGGTCAGTTTCAGTTCAATCATGTTTCCTTTTCTTGCATGTATTTTTAGCGAAGTTTTTCTTTGTTTGTGAAATTTGTAATCAAAGTCATAATGTAAAATTGTTTTGAAAAAGAATAATTTAAAAACAAACCTGGGACCATTGTGAATTTATTATCATTTTGCTATTACAAACGAGAAAATCGCATATCTTTACAGATTCACTTTATCATAAAAAAGGATGTAGTGATTAAATGTTATTATAATGTGGTGTAATATTTTCCCCATTTCAGTTTCCTCCCAGAGTCTATACCATGGTTGGTGGCATCCAATAAGTATACAGAGGCAGAACAGGCTGCTAGAACTGCTGCCAAGATCAACAATATCACCCTACCCGAGTTTCTGTTCAATAGGGAAGTTACATCTGTTGAAACACACACTGAAGGACAGAGCCAGGAGGCACTGGTTAGGGCGAGAGCACTTGTTAAAAAATACACAATACTGGATCTGTTTAAAACTCCCAAACTCAGGCGCTATACCCTCATCCTGTTGTACCTCTGGTGAGTAGACTGGTTCAGACCTAGAAAGATATTTGGGCAGGTTCAGATCAGCAGGGTCTCATGAACTGGTTCAGACCTAGAAAGATATTTGGGCAGGTTCCGATCAGCAGGGTCTCATGAACTGGTTCAGACCTAGAAGGATTTTAGGCTAGTTCAGGTCTGACAGCAGGGTCTTATGAACAAGTTCAAACCAAGAAGGGTGATGAGGGTGGTTCTAACCAGGAGGAATGAATCAACTATTCTAGATCAGGAGTGGTATTTGGGTTGGTTTAAACCAAGAGGGGTATATGAAATGGTTCAGTTAAGGAGATGACATTTTCAGACTGGTTCATAACAGAATGGGTATGTAGACTTGGTAATACACATCAGAAGGGATATATGGACTAATACACATCAAAAGGGATATGTGGACTAATACACATCAGAAGGGATATGTGGACTAATACACATCAGAAGGGATATATGGACTAATACACATCAAAAGGGATATGTGGACTAATACACATCAGAAGGGATATGTGGACTAATACACATCAGAAGGGATATGTGGACTAATACACATCAGAAGGGATATGTGGACTAATACACATCAGAAGGGATATGTGGACTAATACACATCAGAAGGGATATGTGGACTAATACACATCAGAAGGGATATGTGGACTAATACACATCAGAAGGGATATGTGGACTAATACACATCAGAAGGGATATGTGGACTAATACACATCAGAAGGGATATGTGGACTAATACACATCAGAAGGGATATGTGGACTAATACACATCAGAAGGGATATGTGGACTAATACACATCAGAAGGGATATGTGGACTAATACACATCAGAAGGGATATGTGGACTAATACACATCAGAAGGGATATGTGGACTAATACACATCAGAAGGGATATGTGGACTAATACACATCAGAAGGGATATGTGGACTAATACACATCAGAAGGGATATGTGGACTAATACACATCAGAAGGGATATGTGGACTAATACACATCAGAAGGGATATGTGGACTAATACACATCAGAAGGGATATGTGGACTAATACACATCAGAAGGGATATGTGGACTAATACACATCAGAAGGGATATGTGGACTAATACACATCAGAAGGGATATGTGGACTAATACACATCAGAAGGGATATGTGGACTAATACACATCAGAAGGGATATGTGGACTAATACACATCAGAAGGGATATGTGGACTAATACACATCAGAAGGGATATGTGGACTAATACACATCAGAAGGGATATGTGGACTAATACACATCAGAAGGGATATGTGGACTAATACACATCAGAAGGGATATGTGGACTAATACACATCAGAAGGGATATGTGGACTAATACACATCAGAAGGGATATGTGGACTAATACACATCAGAAGGGATATGTGGACTAATACACATCAGAAGGGATATGTGGACTAATACACATCAGAAGGGATATGTGGACTAATACACATCAGAAGGGATATGTGGACTAATACACATCAGAAGGGATATGTGGACTAATACACATCAGAAGGGATATGTGGACTAATACACATCAGAAGGGATATGTGGACTAATACACATCAGAAGGGATATGTGGACTAATACACATCAGAAGGGATATGTGGACTAATACACATCAGAAGGGATATGTGGACTAATACACATCAGAAGGGATATGTGGACTAATACACATCAGAAGGGATATGTGGACTAATACACATCAGAAGGGATATGTGGACTAATACACATCAGAAGGGATATATGGACTAATACACATCAGAAGGGATATATGGACTAATACACATCAGAAGGGATATATGGACTAATACACATCAGAAGGGATATATGGACTAATACACATCAGAAGGGATATATGGACTAATACACATCAGAAGGGATATATGGACTAATACACATCAGAAGGGATATATGGACTAATACACATCAGAAGGGATATATGGACTAATACACATCAGAAGGGATATATGGACTAATACACATCAGAAGGGATATATGGACTAATACACATCAGAAGGGATATATGGACTAATACACATCAGAAGGGATATATGGACTAATACACATCAGAAGGGATATATGGACTAATACACATCAGAAGGGATATATGGACTAATACACATCAGAAGGGATATATGGACTAATACACATCAGAAGGGATATATGGACTAATACACATCAGAAGGGATATATGGACTAATACACATCAGAAGGGATATATGGACTAATACACATCAGAAGGGGTATGTGGACTAATACACATCAGAAGGGGTATGTTGACTAATACACATCAGAAGGGATATATGGACTAATACACATCAGAAGGGATATGTTGACTAATACACATCAGAAGGGGGATATGTGGACTAATACACATCAGAAGGGATATGTGGACTTATTCAGATCAGATCTAAATATATACTGGTTCTGATCAGGAGGTAAATGTTGACTGGTTCAGATCAGGTCTGTAGGAGGTATATATGGGTTGTTATTACCAGGGTAATTCTGATCAGTATGCGTAGTTTGATATAATGAGTATAAATGGTGATTTAACAAAGAGAAAGTAAGGGGTTAAGTACTGTTCGGGAAATAATCAAATCTTTTATTTGTTGTTTACCTTACAGGGCAGCCAACAGTTTGAGTTACTTTGGTATTCTATTCGCCACACCTAATCTGCATGGTAATCTGTTCCTAAATCTTGGCATCAGTGGAGCAGTTGAGATACCTGCACTGTTTATTTGTATGTGGACGATGCAAGTGTGAGTATTGTTTAGAAGTTAAATGTCTGCTGACATTGTGAGTGGAAGTACAAAGTCACTTATAAATTGTTAACAGATGTTTTGAGGTGTTTTATTCACATAGTATAAAGCAACTATTTTAGAGTGACTTCCCCTGATACTAGACAAATCTGTAATAAGCCGAAGATCATAAATAAATACTTCAGACTAACTATCAGAATACTTGTTTGTCTATCACATAAATAAGATTGGATCTTCTTCAGGTATTGAAGACTAATAAGTCAAATGTAAATTTTAATGAATCGTGTTTTATTTTAAGGTATGGACGGCGGAGACCTCATGTAGTATTCCTACTTTTGTGTGGGGTCATGAATATTATTACAATTTTTGTTCCAGAAAAAACAGGTAAACATTAATAGATAACTAGTTACAAAGTTCATGCTCATGCCAACCTAACAAAGTGAATTAAGGTTTGAGTCGTTTATGTCACGCCACCACGAGGTAGCGGAAGCGAGACAAAGGTGTTCCATTTCTGGCGACAGCGACGTCAACATTAAGTGTTTGTGTTTTAGTTAAGTTTCAATGAAAGTATAAGTGCTAGACCAACCAAACTTGGACCATATATGCATCTTAGGTAGTATATCTCAACCTATGCATCAAATGCTGGATGTGACCTACCTTTCTGGTCCATTGACTATGTCAGCATCTCCATCACATTAAGTTTTTGCGTTTAGGTTAGTTTCTCTGAAACTATAAGTGCTACACCAACCAAACTTGCACCATAGATGCATCTTAGGTAGTAAAACGCAGCCCATGCATCAAATGCTGGATGCTGTCTTCCTTTTATGGTCAATTGACTTTGTCAGCATCTCCATCACATTAAGTTTTTGCGTTTAAATTAGTCTCTGATATGCGCATTGATGGTGGAAGTGAGGCATAGTTTAGACATATCAATCCAAATGGTTATTTTCTATACAAGCAACTTTAAATAATAATCTTACTTTTTCAGTTTTAAGTTATTATAGTTAAATGCGTATGTCATATGTACTATCAGTTTTTTTATCAGCTTTACCTGCGTAATTAGTTCATTCTACATTATACAAACTTTTTCAGAATCTGGAACTGATTTAACTCCCCTGATCATATTCTTGGCTATGGTTGGAAAGTTTGGTATCACAGCTTCGTACTCGGTGGCTTACCTGTACGCATCTGAAATATTTCCCACTGTTGTCAGGTGAGCTCCAGTTTATTATATTAAATAATCAAAAACATGTTATTTGCAGAAAGCAGAAACATTAAGGATTGTCATATATGTTTTTGATAAAATAATATGGATTGATGTCCTTGATTTTTTGTTGTTATTTAAACTGCTCGTCACAATATGTTAATGAAATAAATTAAGATGATACATGACATGCATGACTAACACACAAAAGCAAAATCTTCATTAAAGGCGAAGGCCTTTTGAAATGGATTTTCAATAATTATTTCACCTGATGTTCATATGAACCCAGATTAAAGGTCTGCCAGCAACTCTTAATGTGTGTGTGCATCTAACTTTGTATTCTCAATAACAGACTAAGAGTATCTATATATCATCTCGGATCATATTCACACCATGCTCAAAACTCTCCCTTCCTGTTTGATGAAGGTCATTCACACGTTTATGAACCTGAGGAATGTAAATTTAAATGCTGACTTAATTCCTACAAGATGTTTGTACAGTAACACATCCTTCTAAAATCAACAGGAACCATGCTGTTGGTCTGGCCTCGTTCTTTGAAAACATTGGTGGTATTGCAGCTCCGTTCATTGTATACGCTGTAAGTATTTGTTACATTACCTAAATAAAAGCTACATAGCCATGACAACGTAATGAATAAGTTGGAAGAGAAATAGAACGATGAAACAAAGGAAAATTCTTTCATTTTGATGGCATACAAATAATTTAAACAGTTGTATGATAACTATAGAATGTTATGGTTTAATCACAAATAAAGGAGCTCGAACTAAGTTTCTGTTCTGCAGCCTTCTTCAATAGATAATATTCATTGAAAATATGTATGTTAAATGTTATAATCCGACGTTATGACCTAAGTTACACACCACTGTTGTAGGCGACAAGTGACTCGATGAAGAAGTTACCGCTGGTGATATTTGGTGTCATCACCTTAGTGGCTGGAATCTTGTGCATCTTCCTTCCTGAAACACACAAATGTCCTCTCCCAGATACAATCGAAGACGTGGAAAAACTAAGTGGGAAAAGAAGGTTCAGAGACAATCCCACTCGGGACAACACTGACACAGACGCTGAGGATGGCACACGGCTGTGAATACTTACTGGAGAAGAACTTTCAGTTCTGTAATTTGATCCAGTCATGATCCTAGGAGATTCTGTTTAGTGCTACGTTAATGTTCTTATTAACTGAAGGGGAATGTGAACTGCCACGCACATCACATGATGTCTAACAAAATCACAACATTGTCATCTTGTCCCTGACATTTAATTCTTTAGATCTGGGAACCTGTTACATTTGTCTGGATATACATGCTTTTTTCCTGTGTCAATTTCTGACATAACTCAGCATTCATTATTTGTGGAATTGATGAACTGAATTCATTTTTTATCAGATATTGTTCAGATCAATGCAGAAATGTGTTGTGTGCTAAATCACAATTTGAAAAAATTGAGTGATTGTTATAACAGAAAGTGCTGATTTATTAAGAACTTAGTGGTAATTTGCTTAAAATCATTTGATTTTTATGAAATTTTGTAATCATGGAAAATTTATAAAACTAAGGCTTTGTACATTTGAGCAAAATATTTGCATGAACAATTTCATAGGAAGGGAGATAACTCACATAGTGATATATCCTCAATTATAGATATGAAAATTGTTGAAGATGATTATTTTTAACTGAAAAAAATCAATAGAAACTCAAATCAATATTGCTATGACTTATATTTGCAAATAAGAACTTTCAAAACTTTTGTTTTTTAAATGGCAATAAATAATGTTTCTTTCAAAATATCACATCATCTATTATATAAACCTAGTTTGGACTGGTGTGTTAGGTGTGTGGCGCTGGTTTACAACATGTACCTGGCAGATGTTGATGGGATCAGTGTTATAGTTATACATGTATAAAGTGCCTGCCTAACACTATCCAACCCATATGTCTGTAATAGTACTTAGAAATAGTGTACTAGAGTTAGCAAGGCGCTATATCTGTATTACTAGATTCTTGTTTGATTTGAAGGAGTATTTGTAAAACTAATAAGATATAAGATATCTGGTTTAAGTAGTAAGAAAAACTTTTTGTATAATTATTTTGTAATAATTGTTGGTTTTATGTATCACAATAAGACATATTGTGGCCCCTGCTTAACGAAGTTGACTGGGGATGTACAAACAAGTTCTGTTTGTTGGTGTGTCTGTCTATCCATGAACAATTATTGCCTTCTGCGTTATTGTTTTCAAGAAATTTCCAGGTTTCATGGAAACAGAGTGTAAAGTATGTATATTTGTACATTTTTGTGTGTATATGCATTTCCAGAGCATATCCCAAAATCTTATAGATTTGTTATTAGAATTTTCAACAAGAGGTGTTTTGGACTTTCTGATCTGAAGAAAATTTTATTTGTCATGGAAATGGTGTTTTGATTTTAAAAATTAACACTGCAGAGGGATGCCTTTAAATACTTTCTGGTTTCTGTTTTCAAGAAATTTCTAGTTATTAAGGAAACTGTGTACAACACATTTTGTTTCCATATCTCAAAAATATTTTCAGATTTGTTTTTGACATTGAAAATGAATGTGTTAGTTGTTTTCACTGTAACAGAGGGGACCATGGTATAGTGTTGACAGTCCTGTTGTTGGTTTTGCGTATCAAATAAGATATTGTTGGTTTTAGTCAGTAATGATAGGCTTTGTTGCTTATATGCATTTAATAATAAAACGTATTGTTGGTTTTATATATTTTTGTCGTTGGGTTTTACATATTATGAGTATTGTTGATTTTTTTTTTTTAATTTCTTTAATTTTTGAAGATTTTTCAACAGTACATAATACATTTACAATTAATTTTCCCATACAACATACACACACTCATTCCATTTCTAGTCATTAGCAAATATTCTAACACTATATTAAAGATACATAATTTTTATTGTTAATAGTGTAGCTGCATATAATTATGATATGTACTGTTTTTAAGAAAGAAAAGATTGAGAGAGATAAGAATTAAAGGAAGAATAGAATCAACATAGAGAAGGAGAACCTGAATAAGAGGGAGAAGGGGTTCATGCTGACATGACAAAGGACTTGATGTATTTATTAAAAGAATATAACTCGTTCATGAGTAAAGTCTCTGATTAATGTTATTTTTATTATAATATTATATTAATATTAATATTGCCAGGGACTTTGACCAGTTTTTGTATCAACTATATTTCCATACACATACATATTGTAAATATTTGTAGAATATAGATATCACTATAGAGGATATAAAAATATGACATTGATAGTTAATCATACCAAGATTCACCCAACTTGAGACTTAGAGGATTATATGTTATGATTAGTTTCTATACGTTATTCATGCTAATTATCATTGTGCAATTTACCACTACTTCGTGTCTTTTCAAACCGTGTTCATTGCTGAATAAACATATTTTAAAGTAAACGGAACAGAGTCCCATTTAAGACTGAATGATAGTATATGATTCTGAACCATGTTAAGGCAAAGTACACCACATTCTAGACATAGATTCTTGTATAAAAAGTAAAATGTATAAAAAAATATCTGAGAGAATTTTCAATAAGGAACAATGCTACTTAAGAGACTACAAGTAATAATAGCAGGACATACCAAGTTTTGTTGAGAGTAAAATCAAGCAAGACTGAAGCAATGAGATAACAAAGGGCAATAACTCTTACAGAAAAACACGACTTCCTATCATATTCATAAAGTTTACCAAGTTCAGATATCAGTTACAATACAAGAAGTGATCACCAGGCAAACGTGTCTATGCAGAGGACAGACATGGAAATCGCATATCTCGTATCATTTTAAACGAGAATGAAACATCTAAGTATTTCTATATTTTATGTAGAGACCAGTAATCTTTCCCATTTTTTCCATTCATTCTTAAAGATGGTAAGATAATTTTCCCCTTTACCAGTAGCTACAATATATTTTTGAGTGTGATATGTTTCTTTAATACAGTTTTTCAGAGCTGATAAAGACAGGCTCTTTTCCTGGCATCTTGTGTTGTACAAATATTGCTTCATAACTAAAATAATTCAGTTATCAACATTGTTTTTTCCCTCATAAAATCCAAAGATAAAAGACTACTTGTTGAAAGTAAAGGGAATGAATAATAAATCTAACAAAAATTCAAAACTTGTCAAAAACAACTGTACTTTTTCACATTCCCATAATGCATTAACTATCGTTTCATTCTCAGTATTACAACGACTACAGAATGGACTATAGACTAGGCCTTTTTTGTAAATATATGAATTTGTAGTTAGAATATATTGATTTATTCTAAATTGAAGCCATTGTAATTTTGTTTTTGTGCAAATTTTATTTTTTTATTTTTTTTAGTATTGATTTTAATAAGACATCTTGTTTGGTTTATATAGCTTTTAGAGATCGTGTTGGTTTCAAGTGTTGTTGTAAATATATGAAGAGATATTAAGAACTAATTAGCGATATTATTTGTTTGCAATTGTAATCAGAGATATTATTTGTTGTAAGATGTAATCAGAGATATGGTTTTAATTAGTAATATGGCATTGTAACAAATACACATCCCCCTCAATCACAATGTGATCAACAGTCTGTTATGAACATATAAATCACCTTACATCTTGCCAACAGTGCATAATTAACACATCACTAGTAGTTTCATTCTCTGATAATGAATTTCATTGTGCACACATCCCTATATTTCTAAATCCACTTGTATACCTATGATTGAGTCCCAGTTGAGTTAAGAAAGTTGTTTATGTACAACGTAGTAAAGATTTTCTCTATTTAGTAGATGTTTATGTTGACCTTGGATAGAACATATCAGGAAACTCCCATACTTTATCATTGTATGGGAAATTTCATCAAAATCTATTTAGAAATGTAGTGGTTACAGTGACGGTGACATTGGCCTTCGACTTTTGTAACCTTTTGAGCACATTTGAGATATTCTCATTGTCAGCCATTGTATGATTTTTTTATCAATATCCCTGTAGAAATGAAATCATCGGAGTGAGAACAAGAACATTCCATGATTACTGGTACATGTAATAAGGGTGAATAGTATTCTCCTCAAACTCATGTAGAAGTGAAATCATCGGAGTGAGGACAAACCTTTTTATGAAGGATAATGGTGACCTTAACAAGGCTTTAGCTGTCAGAGATACAAATTAGTACAAGATATTCTATTACTTGACTACACTATGAAGATGGATCAAAATCTGTCCAGAAATGAAGTCACAAGTACTAGTGTGATGATGAGTATTTTCTGTAAACTGTGATCTTGACATTCTGAAACATGAACTCTTTCAAAAATATTTTCATATTTGACTGATGTATGAATTTGTATTGAGTTATGTTAAGAATGAGTGACAACAAAGATTTGAGGATGTATTTAAGAATGGAACTTTTATAAATTGCATTGGAGCTCAGAATGAAATGTCTTTGGTTTCTGTGTCCTGTGATACTTTTACCAACATACTTGGCCGCTGAAATGTAAAATCGTGCACATTTTTTAACCTTAATCATTTATATATATCAGACTGATACGATCAAAAAGTATTGCTGCTCGTGGTGTTCTTACTAATGGGCCAGTTAGTTCAATAACCTGATAAATTGACTACAAAATGCATGATCAATTTTTTTCGTTACAATTATGTGTAGATATTATGTAGTTTTCAATAGAACGATTCATGACTTTAAGCCTATCTCCTTGCTAGATATAACAAGAGAAAAGCAGCAGAATTTCCCTGATATTATTTCTATAAGTGCTATATTGGCATCATCACTGACTTACTTTCATGCCTGATTAATTTAGAAACATAGATCACAGATTCAGTGTATGAAGGAAGGTGTTTCTTACATTGCATCATTGTTTATTTGTGTAAGCAACTGGCAACAACAGCATGGAGGATTCTTTTATGTATTTCTTTAAAGTAATTATTAATAATTTGAGGTTCTTATATACCGCTTTATCACAACCTAGTGCATAGATCATCTCAAAGCATTTCACAAATTATTATCCGTGGTTATAGGGCCTTTGCAACCAGCCAATATCTTTCTCAACTCCCTGGGGAGTATACAGCCAGTGCTGTCATTTCAGCGCTCGCAGCTAGCATTCAACAATTCTAGCACTACTCAAACACGCACTCATTTACAGCTAATTACACTGTAACAAGTGGAGTAAAGTATCTTGCTCAAAGATATAATACATTGCCGTGACGTGACTCGAACTCACAACCCTTCGGTCATGAACCTTGTGTCCTACCACTAGACTACAGTGCCTCCACGATTATTAATTGATCATCGGTTAGCAAATGGCATCCAATGATTGATCATACAATTTCAACCCATTCCTACTCTATGTGAAAGGGAATTGTTATTAGTACCAGGTGTACAGAATAGTTGTGATAGATGTTATAATTTATGTAGGGGTGCCATAAATGTTTTTACACAGAGAGTATCATTTACTGTAGTAAATTCTGATTATTGTTTAAAACCTTGGTTTTCTGTCATATGATTTTTCACTTTAACAGGTGAGCTTTTTACTGTCTAATGTACTGAGACAGTTATATCAGAACTAATTTGTACTAGCTTTTAGTCCCTACTGTTGGAAGGGACTATAGGATTGCTGATTTTTTAACAGGATTCACAAATCTCTGTTTTGTTATATTAACAAAAACCCTTGTTCAAATAGATGGTGTAGAGACGACATTGTCCTTTGAGCATAGTTATGCTACATGTGAGTCTCGGATGTACACAACTGTTCATTGTACCATGAATCATGTATCAGTAACGACAGTGTTTAATTTCATACAGTTGATCTTAAAATATCTTTGACTGGTCACTTAAACTTTGTTAGAATAAAATGTAAAATTATTTCAACATTTAATAAAGGAACGTGTGTAAATTTCTCTTTTTTTGTGTTGATACAGGTGTTATGATGGATATGACAGTATCTGAAAAATCAATTATAAGAGTGTGTCTTAGAGTTTATATTTTTGCTACTATTATTTACAGTGTACAGATATCAAGTTAGATGTATAGGAAGTTGGTATTCAATGGTTTCCTTTGAATATTGTTTAGGAGATTTTTTTGATTTTTTTTTTATGTTGTTGCCCTTATGTAATGTGAGGTATTGTGACATATAGTGCTAGCGTAATGGTGACCCAGAAGATCGAGATTATCACAATGGAGACGGTCAGTATATAGTCATCATAGACTGCCATAATGACATGGAAAAAGAATTTTCACAATCTTATTGATCAACAGAAGCAATCTTTAATTTGGTTGGTCATGTGGCGCAGTGGATATAGCACACTTGCCTTTCACCAAGGCGACCACGTGGGTTTTCTCTGGCTACTCCAGTTTCCTCCCACATTAAGACCCCCCGCGCTAACATCTGGTGCCAACAAGAGTGATTATATAATATAAGTTGAAATAACTTGTTTCATAATTGTTGTAAAATAAATAAAGTTTATATAATCTTAAATTTCATTTAAGCAGAGACATATATATTACAAATATATACATCTCTGATTTAAGCATACCATGGCCAGATTCTTGCTGAAATGAAAAGTTCCTGAACTGGTTTCATAAATCATATATGAAATAAAACTCTTGTAAGATCCTATTATATATTAGAGTTATCTTCAGGTTCCGTGTAATTAGTACTCGCTACTAGAGTGGAGTAAACCCTTACACAGTAGTTAAAACATATTTTATTGACAAAAAAGTGCCAATGGGATTGGACTTGAGTTATCACAACTTATTTCGTCCTCTCCTAAATCCTTAGCTCCTCATTTCATCCTGCTTATCATAAGGCAAAACTCCTCTGTACAATATAACTGTGATGACATACTAAACTATCAGTATAATCTATTACATGTAATTATTACGTTAAAATGTTGCAACCTTACACTTACATTATATTGTATGGATTTTGTAACCCTCTTGTATTTACAGGCAAATGTACAGTGGAATCTGTATTAAGTGACCACCCAATTAAGGGAAGTTAAAAAACCGGTCATTGAATAAAGTTTGAGCAGATTTGACTGTATATCACAATGCAACATATATACATGTAAACATACAAGGTGTATATAACTTCTTTTTAATTTTAAGTGATCTCATTCATGTATCAATACACGGGTCTATAAGCATAAGAACAAGGAACGAGATGATGGAGGATGCATTATTCATTTTGTAAACATTTTGGAGTAAAAGCAATATCAAAACTTTGAATGTGCATTATTTGTCTTCAGTAAAAGATAACTTATAGAAGGAAACATTTATATACTGTGTTATTATAAAGGAAAGACTCACTTATATTAGCTAGGTAACGGTTATATGTATAGGGATTAAAAGTACATTTTGTAACTGGTCATACCGGTGTGATGTGATACAGTTTGGTTACATATTTCATGAAGCTTTGCTAATTTTGTGTTCATACTGTGTTACTTAAACAATTGATTGAGTCCATATTTTCCGTTCATCATCAGTCATTTCATTGAAAGGTTCTCCTTGTATTACTGTATTTCTATGTATATAGTGAACAGAAAAGGTGTTATTGGTGTAACAGAACTGGACTGGGTCGATCATCCGCGACCAGGTAGCTCAGTTTGTAGAGAATCCGTCGACAGTTAGGAGGTTCCTGGGTTGGAATCCTGGTCTGGTTGTTACATTTCTCTTTCTCCTGTTACATAATTGGTGAGATTACCAACTCATGTTTTAAGCTACAAAGTACTGGGTGAACGCATAGCAAGGGGATATGTGAACCTGGGTTGTAAATAGTTTTGTCTTCTTTGGCAAAGACTTAGAAAAAGGAGGGGTCAAGGAATATAGCAGGACTGGACTGGAGGGGTCAAGGAACAGGACTGGACCGGATCAATCGTCTGACCAGGTAGCTCAACTGGTAAAGTGTACATCAACAGTTCAGAGGGTCCTGGGTTTGAATCCTGGTCTAGCAGTTGCATTTCTGTCTTCCTAGCTATTACATTTGTAGTGTGCACACAATTATGTATTCGTGTAATGATACATGACCTTCAGCCATCCACATCATTATAGCCATGACCTTATATTTCTTTTGACTTTTCCCCTGTTTTACCTGTCCTATACACTCTTTCAAGATGCTTCACAGCTAGGCAACATAAGTGTTCACCTTGGAGCACTTTACGCCATATGTTAAGTTAAATACTGCCATTTCATAGTTCATGTACAATTCTTATATATATTATGTTGTTTTAAGTTGATAAATGTATTATGGCTTTATAAAGCAAAATACATAATAGTATGCATTTAAAATTTTGCTCGTTTAATTTTACTTTTTCTGTAATTTTCAACAGGAGTCATTTTCCCTTCCATTTAACTGTCATGAGTGTAGGGTGTGTGTGTGAAATGTAAATATTGTGTTTGTATTAGCATGAAGGGTTTTATATTCACACAGTATTGTACCACAATAAATACAGCTGTCAGAGAGCTCAACCAGGACTTTGTCTTCTTTATTGTAGACCAGTCACACTTGACACAACTCATGAATCCTCAATGAAACAAAGGGGATGGGATGTACATCACTCATACAATCTTAAGTCAGTAGTCAATAAAGTGATCGATCAAAAGCTGCATTTATAGTGTTATTGGATGTAGACTGCCATGTGTTTGCATGCTTTTTTAGCTCACCTGCCCGAAGGGCAAGTGAGCTTATGCTATGGTGCGGCGTCCGGCGTCCATCTACCTTTCCTTTTGCATTTTGTATAAACCGTGGGTCTGGCCCCCCATGGGCCTGAGGGGAGGGACCCAATAGGGGAAATATAGCAAATTCTTTCAAATCCTTCTCCTTCTGTAGGAATGAAAGGATTTGTTCCATATCTTGTCTGTAGCATTCTTGGCGAAAAGGGAACCAATTTTGTATAAACCGTGGGTCTGGACCCTGAGGGGCCTGAGGGGAGGGGTCCAATAGGGAACACATAGTAAATTCTTTAAAATCCTTCTTCTTCTGTAGGAATGAAAGGATTTGTTCCATATTTGGTCTGAAGCATCCTTGGGTGAAGGGGAACCAATTTTGTATAAACTGTGGGTCTGGCCCCCAGGGGCGGGGCCAAAAGCGGGCAATATGACTATGTTGCTACATACAACTTCTGCTGTAGAACTATGCACTGGATATCAACCATATTTGACTGGAGGCAACCCTCGGTATTCGAGATTCAAAATTGTACAAATGGTTGGGCTGAGGGGCGGGGCCAAAAGTGGGCAATATAGCTATATTGCTACAAACAACTTCTTCTGTAGAACTATGCACTGGATATCAACTATTGAAACAGTTGAGATCCCCACCCCAGAACTATATATACAAATGCTTTGCATAAAGAGACAAAAGTAGTCATGGTATTAGAATAGACCCTGAGGTCTGACTGAACCCCTAGGGACCTAGTTTCTTAGTCACAGCTTGGAAACAGTTGAGATCCCCACCCTATAACCATGCATATATACAATTGCTGAGTATAAAGAGATGAATGCACATATGCTTCCAGGATGGCTTGGGGTCTGCCCCACCCTTGGAGACTTAACCCTTGGGTCATAACTTCGAAATGGTTAAGATCCCCACCCCAAAATTATATATACAATTGTTCAGCATAAAGAGACGAATGCAGTCATGATATTAGAATTGACCCCAGGGTCTGCCCCACCCTTGCAGACTTAACCCCTGGGTCATAACTTAGAAACGGTTGAGATCCCCACCCCAAAACTATATATAAAAATGCTGGACAAAAAGAGACGAATGCAGTCATGATACTGGAATTGATCCTAAGGTCTGGCCACAACCCTAGTGATCTAGTTTCTGAGTCACAGCTTGGAAATTGTTGAGATCCCCACCCCACCCAAAAACTATATATAAAAATGCTGGACAAAAAGAGACGAATGCAGTCACGATACTGGAATTGATCCTGGGGTCTGGCCACAACCCTAGTGATCTAGTTTCTGAGTCACAGCTTGGAAACTGTTGAGATCCCCACCCCCCCCCATAACCATACATTAAATTGCTGGGCATGAAAAACCTAATACAGACATACTACAAGAATTGGTATTGGGGTCTGGCATATTCCCTTGGATCTCATTTGGAGAATATTTTGCCATGATTGCTTAGATATCCAGGTGAGCGATACAGGCCCTATGGGCCTCTTGTTTTTGTATTGTATTGTGCTACTTCATATTGACATTGTTCGTTATTTAGGGCCAGACTGCCAAGTGTCACATTGACAAAATAAATAGTGAAATAACCCGGTCATGTGACATTATCGCACTACATGCTGTAACTATTTATAACCTGTATATGTGTCTATAAAGTACTAAGGTTACACTACTATTAGTGCCAATGAAATACCAGCGAACTTTTTAATAATATAGGTGATAAAATCATCCTGACATCAAGTTAAAGATATTGCATGAGATTCCATGACAATTACAGCTCATTCCTATTACTTCAGAAACTTATGAAATGATTAGAAATATGAGCAAAGGGAAGCAATCAGTATATAGCATTTTGTTAACAAGAAACTTGTGAAGTACATAATTAAAGTATGCTGGCCTATAACAACACATCTGTTACGTTGTAGCCGTAATCAAAATAATGACAGACTCCACATATGTAGTTTTTACAACTACCTGTTTATTGTTACAGGGCTATGGTGCCTTAATTTATGATACACATGTGTAATAAGCCCTAGCACAAGTACAGTTGATTAAAATACAGGCCCGACGTCTCACACAGATCCTATTACTGTCGTAATGGATAATGACTGGACTTTACAACATCTAATATGTGTTCAACCCTCTCAAGAAGTCAAGAACAAATATATTTTTTGTGTGCCCATCAAAAGTTTACATGTACGCATTCTTGTAGGGGGTTCAGTGTCCATCTGAGCTGCCATCCATTAGGATTTGAGAGTTAAGGGGAGTGGGGCCTAACACTATGAAATTCAACAGATTTATTCTGTTGTGAATTAGGAGTTAATCTTATGTTCGAAAATAAAAACTTAAGCTCATTTGTAACAGTGGCGGATCCAGAGACCTTTCTGGGGGGGGTTTCCAAATTTCCTGGGGGGGTTTCCATGTGGGGAAAACTTGAACAAAATGGTGAAAATACATGATTTTTAAAGAAAATTATCAGGGTGGGGGGGTTTCCTGAAGCCCAAAAAACACCTCTGGATCCGCCACTGTGTAATGTCTGTCCGTCTAAAATGTGGTTTCCACAAGACAATGTACTTGCCTTAGTTTTATGAAACTTAATTAGCATGAACAATATACAAAGACTATAACTAGATGAGCAAAATCTGTCCATTATTGATCAACATACTGCACTTGTTTTGGCCTATGGTTTCCACACAACAACTGAATTATTACCAGATGAAACATTGACAATGACAAATATTTTAAAAGTGATTAGAGTAGTTGCCCTGTAAGAACTTTTAATTGTTGAAGATGATGCGGCAAAATTCATTTTTTTGATGATTAAGATATTTCATCTGGCCACATTTCTGTACAATATAGGAAATTAATTAGTATAGAGCTCATTGTTTTTCCTCAGAAATAAAACCTGTACTTGACCTATACATGAGTATTATGCTTATAAGTAAATATAAGTGTAAATATATTCATACAACATGTCTAAACTAAAATGCATTTGTTTATAGACTGATTATAACCGGGGAAATGTTCACTGAAATTTGACTGGTTTTCAACCTTAAAATAAATAAATATCTATAACTAGCTAATACTATTTAAAATACAAGATTGAAATCATTAATACAAAATATATTTGTAAAATACCATCAATGTCAATGTATTATTGATGATGGTGTCAAAAATCGAACTTAGCAGAAATAAATTATAGTGGAATTTCAATGCAATGCTAAACGCTAAAATACTGTTTGTTTGACTATGGGACTGGTACAATCGAACATTTACTAAAAATGTAAGCAAACCAAAACCTAATGGTTTTACAACTTCCGGTATAGCCAGTCTAATGGTAAGGCCTCAGTTTGTTGTCGTTTCCGGTGTCATGGCTGACTTGGATACGGATGGCACCTGTTTATAAGAGCAATATTCCTAATTTTCCGCTCAAAGGACGTTAGATTTTTCTTGATAGATTTAAATTATTTGTCTATGTCATCTGATGTGTATGTGGACTTAATTTAAACATCAGTCATGCCTGTTTACCTGAGGAACAACGTAAATTTTACGCCGCCATCGCTTGATCACATTCCAGTTGAACAAGAAGATGACTATGTTCAAGATCCAGAACAGCTCAAAGATCACCTGCCGCAGCCCTATCGAATGCTGGACAAGGTGTTGAATAAAGTATTTGATGATGCATGGGCTATCATTGAACAGAGAGAAAACGCTGCTCTAGAAGAATCTCTAAGATTTAAGCCCCCACAATTTGATTATGAAGAACAAATTGAGGTAAGATAACAGTTTTTGTCAGACAAAAACATGGATGTATAAACGTTATTCAAGTCATATTCCATGTTTAAGTAGACACCAAAATTCAACTTACCCTAGTTGAATTTCTACTTGCTCAACTTTCCCCCTAATTTCTGGCTTGTTTACATTAAAAAATATCTATGTGACCGTCAGCATACGGATCACTTATTCCAACAAAACTTGATTATGGTTCTATGGTATACGGGTCGGAGCGCAGTTCTTACCTGCGGATGCTAGACCCAATCCATAATCAAGGGCTACGTCTAGCCATTGGAGTTTTTTCGAACAACACCTGTAAAAAGCCTGTACGTGGAAGCGAATGAACCATCTCTTTATGACAGAAGGTCATTTATTGCAGCTCAATAAAAATCCTGCTTTTGACCAAGTATTCAACCCAAAATACCAAAATATACTTACGCAAAACCCAAAAATTCTGCCAACATTTGGTATCCAAATTTAAAATTTCCTGCAAGAACTCAACATGAAGTTGACCGACATAGCTGAATTTAACATATCTGATATTCTCTAATGGATCATACAAACATCTTGCTTGAAACAAGGGTTGGTCACAGGCACCGCTGTAGCAGGTAAAGGAAAAATGCATGCACGGCCAGACTTGTTTTTGAACTCGAGACACTCAAAACTCCAGACGGATGTATACGCTCTACCAATTGTGCTAGCAGGTCACCGACGATTAACCCAGTCCAGTTCCGCTACAATATGTATATAATACTGTATACTATGACATTTTGGATTCAGTTAAACTTCCATCTTTTTAGTCCTTTGCAATGAGGGTAATTTACCATGAGAGCATACTCTACACAGTCATTACATGCTAAGGGCTAAATGACAGGGCCCCGGGAGGGTAGTCAGAGTTCTGGCTAGGGTCATATGAGGACGCATTTTTATTTGAAGTGGTAGGTTGAGTGATTTAAAGTCAAGATTAAATGTTATTGATAGCATGTACTTACCTAAAGTTTATCTTGATTTCATTACTTTAATTTTGTTCTAATAAGAATTTACATACTCCATTGTTTGTCAGGTGCTTGGTGGAGCCACCAGTGTTACCTGTAGCAGTGACGGGAAGGTTGTGTTTGTGGGACTGCCAAATGGAATAGCAGTGTTAGATTCTGTTACACAGAACAGGATATGTGCTTGGGAAGAAGATAAAGTAGAAATCATCCGCCTGAAGACCTACCCCATTGCAGAAAACATGTATCTGATTATTAGTCTTGATGATATGGGTAAGTATATAAATCATTCACTTGACTACCTCTACCCCCTTGTAAAGGACATGTAGATTAATTGTTAGCCTTGATGATAACGGTAGGCAGTGTAATATAGATATCATTACCTTAATGTTCATTTGTGTGCTACTTTAGGAGGTAATTCAAAGGGAGAGCAAAACACTGAAAATCTTCATTCAACCAAGAGTAGTAATGTGTCATTTATTATACATTTTTTATAAATGAATTATTATAATCTTATATAATTCAGATCCATTTGACCATATGGAATGGTGAAACTTTGTTTATTCTTATTGATGGTTATGATATGTCTTGTCTGTATTTTTTCCAGGCCTTGCTAGACTCCATGCTTTTGCTGGAGAAAGATTATTCCTTTTGAAGTTGCTGAATGAAACACAGGTAAATCAGTCTATCATAGTAATTAATGTCATTGGCCTTATAGCTTTTGCTCTCACTTCTTTTATCAGTGTGCAAAATTAAGTCAAAATCCCAAATATATTACCATATCCTGGAGAAAAATAAGAATAATCTGTTGTTGCTTAACCATCAAGTGTTTTCCTGTTAATTTACAGCAGTGTGTATACACATGTACATTAACCACCCCTTGTTTTCCCCAATTCCTGCTCACATCAACCTCCTTTCCGATCAGTTTTAATTCCTTCATGATTTTTTGGACTACAGATTTATAAGTCCCTAACTCAAGCTTTTCCTGTCAGATTCACCGAGGTTTTGAAAACCTACTATTTCTCTTAGTAACGAGATTCATCAACATTTCAAAAATGATGGTCAGGACTTGTCTGAAAAAGTTCTACAAAAGTTACTGACCTTATTTATGATACTATTCCGTCTTTGCGTATTGCAGAGTTATCTTCTCTTGGGAGCAGGTATTGATTGTTACGTCATTGGTTTGTGCGAGAAAATTACGTCGTTTTCTCAAAAATTGATGACGTTACTCTCACAAACAANACGTAACAATCAATACCTGCTCCCAAGAGAAGATAACTCTGCAATACGCAAAGACAGAATAGGTACAATGTGAATCATTGCAATAATAATATAATATGAACCTGTAAATGTATGTAGTGTATTGTAGTGATTTACTTTGTAAAAATGTTGTTGTTGTTTACAACAATACTGTATTGTTGTAATTTATTACGGTAGTTTACGGAGTGTATTGTAGATAATTTTGACAGATTGCTTCAGTCTTGCACACATAATTCTTATCAATCATTTTTTGGAAATTATTTGATGTTTTGATTTACCTTTTTTTCCATAAAGGAGATTTTAGCACCAGTAAGTTTGTGTGGCGGAATGAAAGTGTGTCTTACAAAATTAATTGATACTTTTATTGATAATTTAGTTTTTAAGTCTTTTAAAAGTTTGTGTTTATTGTGATATTAAATAGTTTGTGAAAAATATAATATTTTATAGAAATGATTATCTGGATAAAGTGATATGTAATTTCAAAAGAGAATAAATATATTTTGTATGAAACATCTTTAAAAAAAATTAGATAAAAATACAAGGCTTTACAAAGTCCTTTCTGTACATAATTAAGTAATTATAATGTACTTTTTCTTCGTAAGCAATCAGCTCTGTTTAACAAAGAAAGTTTTAGTCCATTTATAAGAGAATGGTTTTCAGAAATAGATAATATTTCACAGCCATTTTATTAGAATCAGATTTCGGACGTACGTAATGTAATACAAATTTTCATATCTTTTTAAGGAACCAGTTGAAACTACTGTAAGTTTATGCAATGTATGAATGTGACACCTACAAGTTTCATTTTTTTTATTACTCAAAACGCATTTTATATACATGTTCTTAAAAGTTCAATAGAGAGTGATATCCTAACTTCTTGTTCAATGTAAAAAAATATAATAAAAATAAACAAATATTTTTTTAATACATAATATTATATAAGTTTTTGAAAGGAGAAGGAAATGTTGACAAAAATACACAACGAGTAATGAGCTCACCATAAATTGATACTACATTATACCTGTAGGTTTCTGATAAACTTTAGATAATGTTGAGAATACATGGACATTTATATTTTATATAATTACATTAGGATCGTGTTTTATTTTTGTCTAATAAAAAGGATGGTGTTGATGCAGTAAGTTTATTTTCATGCATGCTTTTTATCATCTCTTACTTTAGTAAATTTACCACTGTAGTATATTAAATGTAATAGCTTAAATGACGCAGAAAAAAATATGGATGTAAAAGTCAAATGAAAGGATTTTAATCTTAAAATTTTCGACAGTATCCTAAAACTAAATGATTTTATTCACTAATGTTGATATATAAGGTGTCCGCATCTCATTTTCCTTAAAGTTTAAAATTGTTTACTATAATTAAAAACAATAAAACTTAACACCTACCTATAAATTAACTTATTTAAGAACAAATCATATTTGCATGTTTGATATAATTTGTGTAATATAATGAGTAATGTCTTAATTTACAAATAAATGTTTCTTAAATTTATTTTGACTAAAATTCTGGAGAATGAATCCCTGAGATTTGGTAATTATAACTGGGCCACATGTTTGACCTTCACACCAGTTACTAGTTTAACCATATCAGGACATTTTCTACCTGACTTTAGTATTAAACTGTTGTTGTTAAATCTGATTATAGGAATTACTAGAATCGGTAAGTCAGCTGACTAGAGATCAATTATAAAACCTGATCTCTTAGTTGCTATGGTGATGAGAAACTACTTTTTTGAAAATGTTGTATTTTGATATTCTGAAGGAAAGGGGTTTTTGGTGTGTACATTGATATGTCGGTAATTTTTGGAATCAGGGACAGAACTGGGTTATATCTTATGATATATTTACATTCATACATTTTAGACGTCAAGTTTTGGTGTTGAATGAAGAATTTCTAACACAAAAGTAGTGATTGTTGTTTTTTTAAGATCAAGCTAATACTTAATTTGGAAATTAGACAATTTAGAAATTAACCTGGGAAATTAACTTGATGTTTACTTTAGTATGACAGTTAATACTTTAAGAATGATTACACCTTGTGTACTATTTTATGTTTGTTGTTGTGAAGGTGTTTAATTTAATTACTTAACCATTGTTTGTCTTTAGTGAATCTGTTTTATTCCGGATACCGACATTCACAAATATCATGATGTTTTTTCTTTTTTCTTTTTCTTTACAAAACATCCATATCTCTGAATGTTTGCACATGAAAACTTAAGACCTGTTGTTTTTGCTAAAAAAATGTCTAATTTATATTTCATTTTCAATTTGACCACCTAAAACATGCACGATTATGTACTTGAAAGGCACCATTATGGATTGTTATGTGGGCTGGTATAGACTATGTTGTAAGGATTTGGTACTACACTCACATGCAAGTCTACTTTATTCTTTAGATAAAGGTTTGGTTTAGGTACAGTGTGTTTTTCTCTTACAGATGATACGACTTCCAGGTTTTGACGGCTGAAAACTTATGATATGTCAATGTCCATTTAATATCATGTTTCCATCTGATAAATGAGAAGTAATATTCACTGTGTATTGGACTGTTTTGGTTTCTAACTGTAGAAATTAGTGGTGGGATACTCCGGTATGTTACTAAAGAAAATCAGAGTTTGGTTGCTATAGTTTCTTACTTGAGAAATATGTAGAGAGTTGCTATACCAGGTATTTTTTTTACTTAATAATAGAAAAGATGTGTTGTTGTGGTTTCTTCCTGGAAATTTTGTAGTGAGTTATTATGGGTTGTTACTGAAGACATTAGAAGTGGGTCGCATTAGATTTCCATGTCAGATATTTATGGTTGCATGCATGGCATATTGCTATGGTTTCTTATTGGAAAAAAATTAAATGGATTCTTTGCTATAATTTTTCATGGCAGAAATTTGTAGTGGTCCAGTTGTTATATACATGTAGTTTAATTAATACTGGAGAAATTAGGGGTGGGTTGCTCAATCTGGTTTATTTGTATCGTTATTTAGAAAACAGAAAGAAAGAAGATCATTTATGTGGAAGAATTAATATACCAATATTTTTTACTCTTTCTTTGCAACAGTGAAAATATTGATATTCTGCCATAGTACTCAGGAATTTAGGGGTTTTTTCCTGTTTAATTGTTAGATCAATAAATAGTAAAGAAAAGTCTGAAGGTTTTAGGAGTGAGTGAATAGAAAGAAAAAAAAACAGGGTGAGTAAATACCTATCAGACAAACTTACCAGTTATATGGGTGAGGTAATACCTACCAAGGGTCTACATGTTTTTGGAGCTAGTCAATAGACCTGAAAAATGCTTGCACTGGTTGTAGGAATAAGAGTATATAATTAATACTAAAAACCCCAATTGGTTTTTGGATTCAATAATTCCTGAGAAGGAACTAGGTCAATATTAAAGGATAAAGATGGGCAGATTATGAAGCTGAGGTGGATTAACACTGTCCTTTTTCCCTGCCACACTTTTAAGTTACCCTTACCAACACCACCGTCACCCTGATTTCCACTTTTGATCAGTCTATAAATACATAATTGGTGGCCGCATACTTTTGACAGCCTAGGATGAAAGCTGTGGCGGGACGGCCTGGTGTAAGTAATGTGGTAGTGGCCGCTGGACTAGGTGCTTTGTGGCCTGTTATAAATATGATACTCTAGATACCACAGTGTATAAAGTATGGACTCCTAAATCAATCTCGTAACTTTCAATTTGTTGTATTCCTTTAAACATTAAAAAATCACAATTCGATTGACTTAATTGTTTTACTGTATGGCCGGCCATAAATGCATTTTTGCTGAAGATATACAAAAAAAATTGTTATCGGATTACAAGAAATCCAGCCATATCCGTCTTACACTCTTAGCCCAAGATAACTATTGTATCACATACAGGTCAAGGTCACATGGATCAAATACATGCAATGTATTAGGTAATATTAAAAAAACCCACTTCAGGTACTAAAGATATATAAATATACACAGCGATAGCTACATGACATTGATTGTCTGTAGTTACCATAAAAAGTAAATATAGACACGTCCTTACCTATTTCTTCTACCACACGAAGGTCAAGGTCACATATAATACAGCCTTAGTTAAGATCACATATTACGTTAAGCTTGTTAGCAGCAATGGTAATAAGTAAGCAAAGTATTTCCTTGTGTGATAGGCAAGTTCATGTACACAGCAAAAATATTTTCAAAAAGGCACAAACCATATCCATTGAATTTCCGAGGACAATGTTTATTTCTCAATGTGCATACAGTTATATGAAGTGAATTAATCATAGGCCTATCTTTGCTGTAGTGTCCATACTTTATACACTGATTTCTAACTGGAATATTATTTGCTTTGATACAATGCTGGTTACCTGACAGGAGGTATCTGGGTTCCAATGTAATCAAAATGGGGCAGCTGTACATGTATACATTCATGGTGTGTTTTGTTGAAAATGTAGTACAGATATTTTGTATTTTGATCTATACTATGTGTGAAGATGTCCTCCGGGCCAGGCTTTAGGGCGGTGTAATGTTATATTTTTGCTTGTCTAAGTTAAATCAGGCACTTCATTTTGCAGCTTTCAGAGCTTTGTTACTTTCAGTGTTCTATATATATATATATAGTAACCAGTTATTTTTTATGAAGCTCTTAATTCTTACATGACAATTATTTACTTGGTAAATACATCCATATGGCCCTTAACTGGTATCAGTTATCTCCCTTTGTTTATCATATCCTCAATAAGATTCTTCTGTTTGGAAATATGTTAATCGATCATGTTTAAATGTGTAATGTTGAGCTAGGATATTGCTAGTAATTTAAAACAGAATATGTTGTAATACACAACACTTATTATCAGGATAACATTATTGGGCTTGTGAAACAGCAGGTGATTTAGTAACAGCTATTTGAACTCATTATATTCATACTTGATACAAATCAAATTGAATCTATATATTAATTCACCCTACATTTAAAATGAGTTTATACATTAATCCCTTTGTGATTACACTAAGGACTAAACATATATATTATATATGGGGCAAAGAAGTAATTCCAACAGTGTGGACAAGTTAAGGTTGTCAAATTTTCGGTGTGATCCACTCCTTATTATTATCAAGACACAGTGAAACAGAACAGTTACATGTACATATACATCATAAGAAGATAGAGCTGATATACTAAGATTGAAAATATAGCTATTATATAAAACCAATAGTCCCCTTGGCTATAGACAGCAGAAGGCAGCAATTAAGCTGAGAGCATCGCAGACAAGGAACGCTGATAGTCTAAATATCAGAACGCTCGCTGGCTCTGCTTTATAGCGAAAGTGCACTAAGACGACTCGCCCAATGAAACACAACGACGACCCGCCAAATGATAACCAAAATCGCAGAAGAATCCCTCTAGAAAACTCTTTAACTACTTAATATATGTAGAGGACCTATTCTTGCGCAAGATGCACTATCACATAAAGTGAGGCAACGAGAGATAAGCACCATAAAGAAGGGACGATATATATATATATATTGATGTATAAAATGGAAAAGTTATGTTCATCTTGTATAAAAAAAGTAGTATACACAATTACAAACTTTTTAAATTTAGTTGTTAGCTCACCTGGCCCAAGGGGCCAAGTCAAGTGTGCCTATGATGTGTTGAGGCGTTGTCAACCGTCTGATCGTTGTTCGTCCAGCATCAAGTATTTATTTAAACAGCTTCTCAATAACCAAATGACCTAGGGTGATGATATTTGGTCAGTAGTATGCTGGGATAAATGGCTACCAAGTTCGTTCGAATGAATGACCTTCAGCCATATTCACAGTTGAAGCGGTCAGATGTGTTAAAACTTTAAACAGCATCTTCTGAATAACGAAAAGGCCCAGTCTTGTTATATATCCATTACAATATGTCTAATTATTATTCCATTTTTGGAAAAATTGAGAATTAACCAGTGACATTTTACATTATGAAAAGGGTCTGTAATCAAGACATGGTAATGCAGATGTAAAAATATTTAGTTTAACCTAAAACTACTAGTGTGGTAAAACTTTTCTAATTGAAGTGAATTGTGAATGTTATCTGTTTATAGAACACTTGTTAATGATGATTTTTAGAAAACTATTAGAAATTAGAAGAAAAAACATTTGTGAAAAATAAGCTGTAAGTTGCTGCGTTTTGACTGCCTCTTTGTTTGAATGCAGCTATGTTTAAGTGACAGACTGCTACTTTAAATGTGGTTTTATTTTGACCCTGGAAAACATTTCTAGTGACAACATTAGAGTTTTAGTGAACAGAAATGTTTTTTTGCTCTGATGTTAAAAAACGGATTATAACCTGGGCCCATATTCATGAAACCGTTCTCATCCTCAAGCATGGATTTCATGCTCTAACCAACTTTCTTGTAACTCACTAAAATCATGTCAAACGATAAAAAGTCAATTGTCAGTGAAAACAGTATTCGGCTTTAAGTTTCTCCAATTTATTTCCAAATCGTTGACAAAATAAGGTTTTTTTTTGTTAAGTTATAACCAGAACAAGAAATTTGGCTTGAGCACAAAATCCATCCTGAGCATGAGAATAGTTTCATGAATACGGGCCCCCATTGCTGGTACTGCGGTCCTTTTTGGAACACAGCAATTAAGTGACTCCCTGGATTCTCGTTGTAACATAAACGCTCTGGTGTTGAGATGGCACTAAACCGTTTTACCGCTTGGTCATGGTGGAGTTTTGTGACATTTAACTTTGCTTTGAGATATTTTGCTGCCTGTCAACTTATGAGAGAAATGTTTGCAATCAGTTCATTATCTTCAAACGAACTCGTAGTTTTGATAAACTGTAATTTTGCTTATATCTTAATGAGGTACTACTGTATATATGATGTCGTACAATAAGCTGGTTTACAACAATAATCATTTCTTTGAAACTTTTGTTCTCATGCTTGTTAAACTCACTGAAACAATTGATTGTAGAACAAGGCTTTATGATAGGGACTGTTGCCTACATTTTAGGGTTTGTTTAATTCATGACTATATAAATGTACTGTAATGTCCTTGACCTTATTCGTCCCTAAAGGAGGAGAAGTCTTCAACACGACTACTGATACATAAGTGTGAGGCGTCTGCTGAAGGGGAATATCTCGGCTCCTTGGTGGAAAGTGAGTATTAATGTTCATGTTCTGTTGTTGATACAGAAATGTGTAGGGCGAAATATTCGTATGTAATGATCTAGCTAGGTGCCTTTTAGCAACAGAATTTGAATGAAGCATATCATTATGATCGCAGATCCTACGTCAGCAGAGGTGTGGCTCGAGATCTACCGCCTCCCCAGGGACGAGTGGGTACAAGAACTGGAGAAAAGACTTGCTGATGCCCAGAAAGAAATGGAGAAGAAAGATGGAAAGGTACAGCTGTGTTTCGTAGCATTTGTTTTTACACAGCTGTTAGATGTGAATACAGAATTACAGAAATTCCCGTTCAGTTCAGAGGGATTTCTGGTTTAGAAATTAAAAGAAAATATCATTATTAGTGGAAAAACTAATTGTTAATGAAAATTGATAGGTGTAAATAAATCTCCTGATAACCATGAATAAAGTAATTATAGATAACATTGTGTGATGTCTGATTCAGGCAGTGGAAGAGCCCCCGCCACCTGTGGCTACAGAGGAAGGGGAAGGGGATACCGAACAACAGGTACATCATTTATCTAGTCCAGAGACACTTTTAACCCACTATTTCTGTAAATCACTTTTTGTTTTTGCAAGAAATTACTTTTCATGTTAATTCCCATGAGGATTCATTTGCAAATTTAAGCTTTTGACAAATATTAATTTCATAGATAATAAAAACAATATTGAAAAAAGCATCCTTTTTTATTGTGAATTTATGTACATGTGACAGTAATTACAAATAAACATACATGTGTACATGTTGGTTGTGAAGTAAAGTATACAAAACCTAAGGTGATTTACCATGTATACATTGTATGTATTACCCTTCTTGTGTCTGACTTACCAGTTGTATACATTGTATCTATTACCATTCTTGTGTCTGACTTACCATTGGTATTCATTGTATGTATTACCCCTCTTGTGTCTTACTTTCCAGTGGTATACATTGTATGTATTACCCTTCTGGTGTCTTACTTACCAGTGGTATACATTGTATGTATTACCCTTCTTGTGTCTGACTTACCAGTGGTATACATTGTATGTATTACCTGTCTTGTGTCTAATTTACCAGTGGTATACATTGTATGTATAACCCTTCTTGTGTCTAACTTACCAATGGTATAAATTGTATTATTACCCTTCTTGTGTCTGACTTACCAGTGGTATACATTGTATGAATTACCCTTCTTGTGTCTGACTTACCAGTGGTATTCATTGTATGTATTCCCCTTCTTGTGTCTGACTTACCAATGGCATACATTGTATTATTACCCTTCTTGTGTCTGACTTACCAGTGGTATACATTGTATGTATTACCCTTCTTGTGTCTAACTTACCAGTGGTATACATTGTATTATTACCCTTCTTGTGTCTGACTTACCAGTGGTATACATTGTATGTATAACCATTCTTGTGTCTAACTTACCAGTATTATTACCCTTCTTGTGTCTAACTTACCAGTGGTATACACTGTATGTATTACCCTTCTTGTGTCTGACTTACCAGTTGTATACATTGTATCTATTACCATTCTTGTGTCTGACTTACCATTGGTATTCATTGTATGTATTACCCTTCTTGTGTCTGACTCACCAGTGGTATTCATTGTATGTATTACCCTTCTTGTGTCTAACTTACCAGTGGTATACATTGTATTATTACCCTTCTTGTGTCTAACTTACCAATGGTATACATTGTATCTATTACCCTTCTTGTGTCTGCCTTACCAGTGGTATACATTGTATGTATTACCCTTCTTGTGTCTGACTTACCATTGGTATTCATTGTATGTATTACCCTTCTTGTGTCT